CATGATCCCAGGGTCCTGGGATCGAGCCCCGCATCGGGCTCCCTGCTCAGTGGGAAGCCTGCTTCTCCCTCTCCCACTGTCCCTGCTTGTATTCCCTCTCTCGCTGTCAAATAAATAAAATCTTTAAAAAAATAAATAAAAATAAAAATTAAAAAGTCTAGTGGTTGTTCCACAAATTGACTATAATTCAAATGTTGCCACAGCATGGGCAACTGTGGAAAAACAACTCAAAATATTTTATTAAATGACTTCTTTGATTAATTATGGACAAATTTTATATCCCTGTGAAGTTTACAAAGTTACCTCACTAAAACTTAATGATATATATTTGAGAATTAATTTTTTAAAAAATATAACCTTTTTACCTGTTAACACCCATCTTCTTTCTGCTTCTAAATCAAGTACAGCTTTTGTCTGCTGAGCATTTGGATTTCGGATGGCATGTCCTTCATCCAGGATCACTCTTAGCCACCTTATGCTATGTAATGGACTATCACCTTTAGTCTGAAATAAATGTTTCATGTGAATTAAAAACACAGGAAAGTAAAATAGTACTTCCTATAATTTGGTAAATACAAGTTATTATTCTTTAATACCAATACTTACTCTGTGGTAGATACTGCTTTAAGCACTATATACATTAAGTTATTGAATGCCCAAAAGCTTATGAAGTATTATTATTTACTCATTTTACAAATGAGAAAACTGAAGCACCAAGACTGGAAGTACGTTGCTCAAAGTACCACAGCTAAGAAATAGCAGAGCTACCGTTTAAACCTAGGTAGTCTAGCTCTCTATTGAGACTTTGGTTCAATACACTGAGCTAATTCTGCCTCAGATCAAAACAGTGATGAAAGAAAAATTTTCAGTTGTAAGAATTATTTGAATACAATATAATTAGTTTCTTTCATGTTGAAGTTAATGTTCTTACTGGAAGATCGAAATTTTGACAATAAGGTTTTTTAAAAAACATTTTAACAATTGGAATTACAGGCAAACAACAATTAAACTTCTAAATTAATTGGGAAACTCATGAACTTAAAAAAAGCTTATTTTTGGGGCGCCTGGGTGGCTCAGTCGTTAAGCGTCTGCCTTCGGCTCAGGTCATGATCTCAGGGTCCTGGGATCGAGCCCCACATCGGGCTCCCTGCTCAGCGGGAAGCCTGCTTCTCCCTCTCCCACTCCCCCCGCTTATATTCCCTCTCTCTGTCAAATAAATAAATAAAATCTTTAAAAAAAAAAAAAAGCTTATTTTTAAGCTGAGATAATTATTAATCAAATCATACTTGATTTGATTTAGAAAATCTGATTTAGAAGATTTGATCAAGAAAATAATATTCTAGAATACTAGAAAAAACAAAATTCACTTATAAAGTTACAATTCCCAATGTAAAACTGTAACTTCAAATGTCCTAAATGGAAAATATTCCTAATTGCTTGAAGAAAGTTCAACCTTTTTTTTGCAGAATATTAAAAGACAATTTCCTATTTTACTTCCTACATATTCTTAAGCATTTAGAAAGAAAGGAAGAGTATAAAGTCTGAATTTTAGAACACTTTAGAAACCTGAAGCATACTTCTTAAATTCAACTTCTGAAATATGAGTGTCAGCACACTTACTCCATAGTCATGAGTTAAAATGTTGTATGTAGTCAAAACAATATCCTGTTTTGAAAGCAAGGTTGGGTCTCTTATACGATCAGGACCATAATAAACATAAAAATTCAAATGCACATCTGATTTTATATGTTGTCCAAACTGGTCCTAGAAGAAAATTAGAAATATTTAAAATAATGAACAGATTAGTGTCACGTTTGATAAACTACTGTCCTGTACACAAATCAAACTACTAAAATTACATAAAATCAAGTTTCCTGCAATCTAAACTAAAATAACAACAATGATAATAACAATACTAACTATTATTTTATTGTCAGGAAAATGGACATATATGCAATAATAATGCATTATATAAATTTTGCTTGGCCCTACCAATGAGCAGCCACTTCACTTTTAGGAAGAAAAATTACCAAATTTCTTTAAAACTGTAATTAATTTTTAAAAAATTTAATATTTTAACAGAAAGGATCTTTAATGCTTCCAGTTAGTAAAGTTTGTAATATCAAAATTAAACCTTAAAAGAGCAACCAATATTCTCAAGAATGTAGGCAGAGATTCAAGCATAGTATCCACTTTCATTCATTTATCATAAACCTACTATTTGCCAGTTCATCAACCAGAAATGTAGTAAAGCTAAAAAGAAAAATAAGACCGGGTCCTAGCCCTCACTGAGGACATGATCTGTTTAAAACACTTGACTTTTTCTCTCAAATCTGAGATTCTGAGCAGGAAAAAAAAAATCATGGTTAGATTGGGGAAAAAAAAAAGGATACCAGAAAAACAAAGCTGAGAATCTATTAGGTGAGAGATGATAAAGCCCTAAAGTATCAAGGTAAGAACAGAATGGGAAGGACAGGTGTAAAAGAAAGATACCAAGAAAAAGGGACTGATGGGACTTGAGGACTAATTAAATATGGGATATGGAAAAAAAAAAGGGAGAAACAAAGAAGCCTCTGATACTTCAAGTGAGTGCCTAGAAGAACTGTATGATAAAGAT